GGTAGTATGATGATGACTTTCAGAATTTTTTTTATTCTAGTATAGAAGCAGAATCCCTTTCTTTGGGGCATACCAACTGGAATGGGGTGAAGAGTTTTCCTCCAAATTCATGTCTACCTGGAATCTCAGTATGTGACCGCACTTGGAAATAGGATCTTTGCAGGTGTCAGTAATTACTGAGGTCATACTGAAATAGAGGGAGGTCCCCAGTCCAGTGACTGGTGTCCTTCTAAGAAGGCTGTGTTACTAGAGAGGATGGGTTGAAGCTGAGTTTGGATTTAAGTTACACTGTCTGTCTCTGGCTCATCTTTATTTCAAGGGTATGGCTCTCCCAGACATCTGGTTACAGCCCGGAGAGTCCTCGTTTTCTTCAGAATGAAATACTGTTGTGACTCTAGTTCTGTGCTTCAGAGCCAAATCTCCAGGCTCACACCCTGTATGTTTTCAAAATTTGACGAATACTGAAAGAAAAACTTGACAGTGTGCTTGAAGCAAGTTTTTGTTTCCCTAAGCATTGAGAAACTGAGAATTTCTGTCTGCTTTTAGAGGCTTTGACCCGTCTCCTTTTACCTTTACAGCCCCAGAAAACTAGATGAAGTGTTGTTTTGGTTCTCTCAAGTTCCCTATTTGCTACACTGTTTCTTCTAAGGGTAGTCAAAGCTTTATCACTCTACATTTTCCCCTTAAAGGCTCTGTGCTAAGCAGACTTGAAGCTTGGACAAATTAGATCTTGAGTCTACAACAGAAATTTGAAGGCTTTTCTTTACCTCACTCCACATCATTCGCCATTCAACAGAATGTGTACAGACCTTTTACACTGAGGAGGGAGAGGGCTGTGAGGATGGTGATAAAAGAAACACTGTGTTATTTTTTTCCCTTGAATTTGTTTTCAAATCCCCTTTCCTGGTAGTTCACACATTTTCATTTTGCAGCTGATGTTGGCAGGGATGACAGATTTTTAATACTGAAATTGTGTGAAAATATTTCTGATAAAACCTGGAAAACAAATCTTTCCAGCACAGCCACTTGCCGACAGTGTAGGTTTCAAGTCCTTGAAGCTGTACCTTCTTGATACCTCCTTGTACTTTAATACATTGCATTGGAACCGTCTACTTAGGTTTCTCAGTCCAGAGAACAAATAAAATTTCCTCAAGGACAATAGCCATTCCTTTTCATCTTCCATCCCCAGTACCTAAGCACAGCTGTCATACCGTCAGCCATCAGGAGATGCACAGTGATTTACCTTGATGGGAAAGAATCAGAAGCTGCTGTTTTGAGATCAGTTAGCTAAAGATTTTTAACAGTTTAGGTCCTGTGGCTCTTCGGTATGAATAGCTAAATATAAAAAGAAGAGAGTTTAAAAATTTATTCATCTCCCCAAG